TGCTGCTGCTTGCATCCCAAGAATGCATGGGGGGGTGTCCTCTGGATTTGCGCAGGGCAGGGCAGGCTGCAGTTGGGGCTACATAGGGCTTTTCATGGTGGGGCTGGGCTCGGAGCGGGCACTGGCAGTGCTGGGAGGATGCTTCATCCACCCCAAATTTTGCCGCTGCTTTGCTGCTGCTGCTGCTCCGCTCCCAGCGCTGCTGCCACCAGCCACCTGGCGCTGCCCTGGCTCTTCCAGGCACATGGGTTGAGCCAGGGCTGCACTGGGTGGCTGGCAGTGGTGGCAGCACTGGGAGCAGTGGTGAAATCTGGAGTGGATGCAGCATCCTCACAGTGCCGCTGACGCCCACTCTGAGCCCAACCCCCACTGAGAAGAGCCCTGTGCAGCCCTGGCTGCAGCCCGCCCCGCCCCGTGCAGATCTGGGGGGTACACAGTTCCCTTCCTGCCTTCCCGGGATGCAAGCAGTGGTGGGATCCTCCTCCTCTCCCCCCTGCCACATGCCACAGCTCCAGCCGCCCCACCTGGGCAGTTCTTGCCCCCTGCCTCACCATGGGGAGCATTGATCTGCCTTCCTCTGCCCCTTCTTTCCCCCCTCCCCTTCCACCACACTGGACTTAGCAGCTGCTGGCTGTGCTCCTCGCTGCCTGAATGCTGTGCTGCATGCAGCATGGGCGTTTATAGACCAAATTAATCGGCCTCATTGGGCCGATATCCGATACGGCCAGTTTTCTTTATATTGGTACCAATCTGATATCAGACCAATGTATCAGTGCACTTCTAGTCTGGGGTATGGGTAAGCTGCTATTTTCAAGCAATTACTCTTCTTACTTAATAACTATATTGTTGAAAACATTGAGACAAGATGTAAATCAGGCACGAAAAAGATCCTCTAGCTGATATTGAACTATGTGCTAAAGTCCTCTGGAAACTTGCATTAATTTTACAGTAGAAAGATTCATGTTATCACTCTTGAGTTTGACGTCTAGTTTGCTTCTGCATGCAGCTCAACTCATTACCTAGAACTATTGGTACAAAAAATTACTCAGTATCCAGTAACCTCTGTCTATATTCAATTATCTGCTTGTACTGACTCTGTACATCTTTACTCACCTCTGGTGTTTGGATGGTTGAATTCCACATAACAGGTCTCTGAAGAAAAACAACTTGCTTTGTGGCCAGATTTCCTTCACTACAAATTAAGAGAGAAAGATTTAGCAATTTAGAAGCAATCATATTCATTTGGTTCTTTCAGGCTGGAGGTTTTTTGATAATTTCTGCTGAAGTAACTCAGTTGTTTGTGAACCAGATCTTGGGAAACCAGATATTGTTTTGCCAATGTTGAAAAATTCTTACAGCCTGTACTGATCATTTGCCATTCCCTCACAGCTTCTACTTTTTAACTGTAAGGAACCTGATCCCTTAATTGAGAAATTGTACTGAGACCATATATTGGAACAGGAATTCAAAATTAAGTAAGGAGTGTTCTGTTGTCAGAGACATGCTTTTTAGGGCACTTACAGACACACAGCTCCCCAGTTTAACTAGTGGCACTTCACAGAAAGTGCCGTGAATTACTCTGACCCCCCTGACCCAAAAGACATTCGCTATTGGGTCAGAAGGGTGGGGGATCAAGCTCTGTTTTGGGGCTGATCCAGCCAAGGAGCTGCATGTCTGCAGCTTCTCTCCCCTGAACTGTTCCCAACTGCCAGTTACAGTGCTGTTTGCATGATGGAAGGGGGGACAGGACGGAGCTCTGCCTGGGGTGTGCCCAGCATGCTTCGGAGTGGGTCAGGTGGATTGGAGCCTCTCTGAGGTGGGGGCTTCCAATCTACCCATCCTCCCTCTAGCGCAGGCTGCACAAAGCCCATACTGAGCTTCCTCCCCATCCTTCTCTCTCTCCTCCCATTGTGCAGACAGTACTGGGGGCAGGGCTGCGCTGCACAAGTTTAGCCATCTGATCAAGCAGAAGTTAAGGGCACGCTGCTTTGGAGCGTCTTCATCTGAACCTTCATATAATAAGGGTTAATTTGTCATGTAATTGAGGACTTTTAAAGTGCTCTGCAGTTGTGCTCTTCTGAAAGGGTATGGCTATAGAGCGCTTTCACGGGGCCAATCGCACGATAAATGTAACTTCTGTCTGCGCCCTTAATTGCCTCCATGAAATCCCAAGATCTCCTGGAAGTTACAGTTCCCACATGTTCAGCAGAGACTATTAGAGTTTGTCAGCATCACACTCCATTCTGTACAGCTTCTATGCATCAGCTGTGATGAGCATAGCCATCTGCAGTGGACAACTGAATGCAGGGGTAAAGTAGGAGTTTCCTTACTTTACTCCTTGTGGCTGCTAAGGATATCTGTTACCAGAACTGATAGTAAGAAGATGCTCTGTTTTATGATATAAATGCTCCCTCTCTTGGCAATTTGGCAGTGACAAGAAAGCTACTTGATTTGAAAGAATGCAGACATCTAATGGAGCAGAGTGGTTAGTCACGGTAGGGAGGAGGAAATAGGAAAAGAGAGCAAGTAGGAACAGGGACAGAGTCTGCACATAAGCAAGCACTTGCCCACCCAGACCTTGGAATTAAATTCAGAATTCTTGATTTTATACTCTTGTGCTGTTTAGGATATTACTGTTAAACCCACTAACAAAATATTTGGTTCATTACCCTCTAGTGGCTGATCTACATAGAACAGGCTAATAATTCTGCCAGCTATTCAACTGGCTTAGGAGGCAGAAGTCTGTACAAACATGGGCCATCCTAATTCTGGCATTCCTTATTGTTTGCGCTCTTGACTTATCAACCCTAACTTTCCATTAAAGCAGTTTTTGCAAAATAGACACATACATATATATTAACCTAAACACATTTTGTGTGTGAGACTGTGAAAACCTTTACATTTTCTTTGGAGGGAATTTAGTTGTCATTAACCTTTATACTTTATTGAATATTCAGATTTTGTCATTTGTTTTTCATCCCTGTGATATTCTCCAAATAAGCCATCATCATGATCTGAGTTTCATTTAGAATAGTTCAGAAAATTGAGTCCTTTTGAAATTTTCAGGAGTGCTTAGCAGACAGTTGGCAGGGGTTGCTCTGAGACTGATGTTGGCTGAGCAACAATTGCTATTAGGTAGAAAAGATCTCTGATGTAGTTGCTATTATGAACCAGTAAGTTCTTCTGAAGAGAAAACAAAAAACATCACTATCGGTTTCTAAAAATACGTGGTGACCACCCAATTCAGAATCCTATTACTTATTGAGATAATTACTGTATATCTAATTCTGTAATCACTTATTAGCATGACCATAATTCCAAGCCTGAAGGCAAAAATAAAACTACTTCTCAATTAGAATTGAGCTAATTTAATTTTTTAAAACAGAAAAGTAGTTTTATTTTTTCAGAATGAAATATTAACAAAAACACAATTGTGTTGTTTTCAGAACACTGTCCAGATAAACCATTCAACTATAATTCATTTAAAATGTGTATCTCAAGATTAATTCCAGCTGTATCTTCCGATACTTAATAGGCTCATACCTCTAAGTCACTCAAGTGCTTTTTTACTAAATACATTTAGTATTGCTGAAAGATGCCAGATGAACCATCACAGTCTGGTTCCCTTTATTAAATCACAGAACTGGTT